CTTTTCTTGCTTTCTTGCTTTTCTTATGGGGTATCTTCTGCTGTGGAAAAATTCTTCTATACACATGAATATGTATTACTCTAATTGGTTAACAAAGAACTGATTGGTCAATGGCTAGGCAGGGTTTGGGGGGCAGAGAGAATGCTGGGAAGAAGAAGGGCAGAGTCTGAGGAGTCTGAAGAGACACCATGAGATACAGAGCGAGCAGGATGGGAAATGCATACATGAGGTAAACAAGCCTCGGGGCAGCACACAGATTAATAGAAAAGGGTTAGGTTAAGTTATGAGCTAGATTACAACGAGCCTAAGTTATCGACCAGGAATTTATAGGTAATATTAAGTCTCTGTTTGGCCATTTGGGGAGCGGCTGGAGGGACAGAGCTGAGCTGTGGACTAGGCAGAAAGTCTGCCTACCATCCTCATTCTGTAGCTGCAGCAGGCCTGGAACTTGCTACGTAGAACAAGCTGGCTTAGAACCCACAGAGCTCTGCCTGCCTCTGCCTTTAGAGAGCTGGGATTAAAGTTGTTTCCTATCATGACTATTGGAAGCTCTGCCTCAAAATACTCACACACACACATGCGCACGCACACACACACACACACGCACACACACACACGCGCACGCACACACACACACACACTATGGGGCCCAGGGCAGCCTGGCCACACATGGGACCCAGGCCACACAGCTGCCATGGCAGGCAGCACAGGGTTCCAGAAAAAGCTGTAAGCTGACACCACCCAGGAAGGGCCAACTTCTAAAGGGAAGTCCAATCATTAGATAAGATAAGACCACCAGGTATCCCTGAGTCCAGGACTCACCTATTCCCCTTCTGCCAAAACACACTAGACAAAAGTCAGTCAATCAGGGCCCAGAACCCCAACCTCTACTATGATAAAAACCCTACCCCAGCTGGGCTGGGCACTCTCTGCTCTCAACCTCTGCGTCGGAGAGATGGACAGAAAGAGTCCAAGCTGAAGCTTGAATAAAGGCTCTTGGCTTTACATACGAGTGCAGACTCTGTGTTGGCTTTGGGGGGAACCTCATGATCTGGGCGTAACCACACACACACACACACACACACACACACACACACAGAGTTTAAATTCCAAACCATTTACTGAATCAGCATTTACAAATCCTAGGAAAAGTCACACTGAAAGACCCAGGGTTGAAAGAGAGCTGGTTCCAAGCCATGATGAACTGAGCTCAGAACACAGAGCTGCAGATAGGGTCCAGTGGACCAAGTTCGCGCTTTGCCCATTTATCAGAGATGACTAAAGAATCAGAGAGAGCCTCTGATTCTTGGTGACGGAAGTTCCATGATTGGGGTAGGGGAAGGTGTTGTAGTGGAGGCTACTCAGGGTGGACAAACAGAAGCAACTGCTGGATTCCAGGACGAGTAAGGGAAGTGGGCCCAGCATCTCCTCTAACTGTAGGCCAGTTCTTTTCTAAGATGACAGATACTCAAGACAGGCAGAGGGAATGTCACCTTCTAGAAGGAACTTTCCTCACTGACACATAACAGGGTAAACAGTCACCAGTCATTGTACAAGGAATGGAAGGCTTGTCTGGAGACTCCGAGGAAGAGCTTGTGTCATCCATTGTGGGCTAACAGCTAACTGTAGGGGCAGGCCGGAGCAAGGCCAAGGCCCTGACTTCAGTTCCCACCTTGGGGGATGGGGAGTTTTAGTGTCTGGGTTCTATTATCACTCTCTTATCAACAGTGACTGCATAAGAACAGGAAGAAATGAGCCGTGGTGTCCTATACCTGTAATCAGGTTTGTAGAAGGTGGAGGTAGGAGAGTCAGGAGTTCAAGCCAACCTAGGCTATAAAGGATGTTTATAAATTAATTAATGGAACATGGATATTAGTTCACCCTGCAGAAAGGTGGAGTCTCGTGAAAAGGGATTCAATCTTGGATGCTCGTGTCCATTAAACAAGTGTTCTTACTCACTGAGCCGTCTTTCTAAATCAATGTGCACAAAAACTCAGTATTAAGCCAAAGTTTCAAAGAACACAGGGCTGGAGCCTGGGATGCTGAACAGAAAGGATGGTGCGTAGAGCAGAATTACTAGGTACAGAATGAGCCAGGTACGGTGGTGCACGCCTTTGTTCCAAGCGCTTAGGAAGCAGAGGTGGGCGGATCTCTGTGAGTTTGAGGGCAGCCTGGTCTAGAAGTGAGCTTCCCAGAACAGCCAGAGCTGTTATAGAGAGAAACCGTGTCTCAAGAAACAAACGGCAACAACAAAAATAGCTACAGAATGAATGAAACAAAGCAAGGCCAAAGTAGCAGACAGAAGAAGAAAAATGACATCAAATAAGTATCAAAGCAAGAAAGCAATGTGAGCATTAGAACAGTGTGAAGTGTGAGCATTAGAATGGAGTGTGAAGTGTGAGAATTAGAATAGTGTGTCGAGTGTGAGCATTAGAATAGAGTGTGAAGTGTGAGAATTAGAACAGTGTGGAGTGTGAGCATTAGAATAGAGTGTGAAGTGTGAGAATTAGAATAGTGTGAAGTGTGAGCATTAGAATAGAGTGTGAAGTGTGAGAATTAGAACAGTGTGAAGTGTGAGCATTAGAATAGAGTGTGAAGTGTGAGCATTAGAACAGTGTGAAGTGTGAGAATTAGAACAGTGTGGAGTGTGAGCATTAGAATAGAGTGTGAAGTGTGAGCATTAGAACAGTGTGAAGTGTGAGCATTAGAACAGAGTGTGAAGTGTGAGCATTAGAACAGTGTAATTTTTGTGAGCATTAGAACAGAGTGTGAAGTGTGAGCATTATACAGAGTGTGAAGTGTGAGCATTAGAACAGAGTGTGAAGTGTGAGCATTAGAACCGTGTATATTAAGGAAATAGCCCTGTTCTGAGGTCATTCTGTCGTCAATGGATAGCTGATCTTACCAAAATAAGTTTAGTTTCTCATTCTTTTTTGAGACAGTATCTCATTATGTAGTCCTCCTGGTTGACCTAGAATTCAATATGTAGACCAGATTGGCTTCAAACTCACAGAGAACTACCTGCTTCTGTCTCCTGAGTCCTGGGATTAAAAGCATACGCTGCTATCTAGGTATTTCATTGTTTTATTTTCTTCCTCTTTTACTATTTCCCATTTTTTCTTTCTCTCTTTTTTAAATATAGAATCTGATCTAGCTGGAGGTGACCTTGAATTTTCGATCCTCTGTTGTGTAATAATCTTTTTGTAGACTGTGAAGATTTGTCACTTTGAATACTTTAATAAAAAGCTTAGCAGCCACTAGCTAAGCAGGAATTCCAGACACAGAGGACGCTGTGAAGAAGTTGTGCTGAGACACCAGGAGGCCCAGAGGAAGCAGGATGGACAGTACAGAGTAACGGTAACCAAGCCATGAGAAGAACGGAGATTAAACGATCTGAGTTAGTTTACGTTATAAGGGCTAGTTAGAAACCAATCTAAGCTATCGGACAAGCTTTCACAATAATAAATCTCCATGCCATTATTGCGGAGTCCTGACAAAAATGTTCAACTACAATTCTCTTTTCTCCACCTCCCGAGTGATGAGCATGAATGTGTCACCACAACCATTGCTATGTGGCACTGGAAATCCAACCCAGGGCTTCAGGTATGGTGAGCAAAACTCTAGCGACTGAGCCCATCTAAAATACAGGATGAACCAGCCATCCTCAAATGCTATGGCCTGCTCCATGATCCTGGTCGGAAAGATTTATGGTCCAGGCCCACAAGCAGAGGGCTTCACTTTGTGTCCCACTAGCTAGCAGTAGGCCACACCTCACTCCAAGAGTCTAGATAGGGACCCAACTGTGACAACAGGAGAGGCGGCTTCAGTGAGCAGCATCTGTCTCGCGTTTCCTCTACTTGCACGTAGCAAAAGCCTAAACTAGCTACTTCCCAAAGCAAGCTTTCCTTCCATCTATGGAGACAGAAATCTCTTAACTTCCCCTGGGGTGTATATTCCATATAGACATGCATTACAGACATTAACAGCCACTGCCATTTTACAAAAGATTTAACCTAGTACTTTCTGTCAAATTTTGAGTGCCTACTACAGAACTGGAAGCCTGCAAGCTTTTGAAATATTCGTCATTCTAAATGAGTCACTCCCTGAAAGCATCCACATGACAGCCAAAGTAAGTTGACTTCAGGAGCTTGGAGATAAAAACCTGCGTTACTTTGCTCATCTGTTTAGCACTGCTAGGAATCTACTGATGTGGAAACTCGGGGTTGGGGGGACGACACTAAACTGACCTGGTCATGGGCAACTCTTGCTCTGTCACTTCCGGGGAATTATGATTTGTAGGCTAAGCTTGTGGATCAGACATGTATCCAACATACCGAGTTAGGGAAAGAATAGCTTGCCATGTAATCTTCTAGAGAGCTCTGGGCTGCATTTCTGAGATTTTCCCCCAGTAGTGGAGGCCCCCAGCAGGTACTCAGTAAAGGTATTTCAGCTCAGAGGGGCACATTTAAAAGGGCGCAAGGGCAGATACTTCATTTTAAGAAGGCATCCCCTTCAACTTCCGTCTACTGGGTGGAGACCTTGCGGGTTCAGGCACCTGCAATTTCCGCCCTTTTCCTTCCCCCTCTTCCGGGCCCAGGCGCCCCCGCTCCTCCTCCAGTGAGCGACCCACTCCCACTGCCAGCTGGGGCCCTAGGAACAGACACTCTCCGGAACGTGGCTTCCAAGACCTGAAAGGGAGAGGAGCAGCTGGCTCGCTGAGTCCTCGCCCCAGGTCAGGCTCGCACCATCACGTCCAACCCGCCAAGCCCAGCCTTTCCCCGCTCCTTCCGGAGACCACCATTGTTCCCCGCGGCTGCCACGGTGCGGGACGCCGAGCTCGCCACTGCGAAGGGCAGGGCAGTCTTTTCAGCCTCGCGCTTTCCCCAGCCTTAAAAGGTCTAAGGCCGCTTCCTGCAGCTCAGCAGGTAAAGCGAGCGGTGGGCGGGCGAGCCCGGGGAAGATAGCGGAGGAGCCGCGCGTCCCGCTCCCGGGGGCCCTGATCACAAAGCCCTGGCCGCAGAGCCGCAGTCCCCCGACCCCGCAGCCATTCCAACCGCGGAGAGAAGGGCGGCCAGGAGGAGGGAGAGGGTGGGGGAGGGTGGGGAGATGCGAAGGTCCCGGATGTGCCTGCCAGGAGCGGTGGGGGCGGGGAGAGGCTTCCTTCCGCGGGCCGCAGGGGCGGGGAGGGAGGGCGGACGGACGGGCGGGCCGCTCGCTCGCGGGGGCGGCGGGGAACGAGCCGAGCACGCGGGGTGGTGAAAGGCAGGGTCGGGAGCGCGGCTCGGCTCGGGGACGCGCTCCCCTCCGCTTGCCTCGGGCGCGGGCGGGCTGGAGGGCGAGCGGGGCGGGGCGGGCGCGCGCCGGGGAGCGGCGGTTGCGCTGGGGCCGGGGAGCTGTGGGCACCAATCAACGGTTGCCATAGCAGCGTTTGACGTCATCGTGCGTGTGGTGCCCCTGCTGCCGGGGCTAGTGATTGGAGGAAACCCCGTGTCTGCGGAGCCGCTGTAGCCTGTGAGCAGCCAGATCAGGGACAGAGTCTCAGCCTCGCCGCCGCCACCACCACCGCCGCCGCCCAGAGACTGCCGAGCCGGGTCCGTGTGCCGCCACCCACTCCGGACACAGGTGAGGAGCCTCCCGAGCTGGCCTCCGCTCCCATCCGCCGTTCGCCCGCCGACCTGACACGGGGCGCCCTGGAGGAGGACCCGGGCGGCCGCTCGTCTCCGGGCCCCGGGCAGGCTCCTTCTGCCGCCCCCGGCCGCTTCCTTCTGCCTTGTCGGGGGCTGCTCACCGTCGCCCCATCCTGATCCCCGGGGTGGTGGGGAGGGGTGGCGGAGGAGGCGCCCACGCGTGAGATTCCCCCCTCCCCGGAGCGAGAGCGACCACAGTCCGCCCCCGCCCAGGACACCCTGCTTCCGCCCGCGACTGGGACTCGGGGCCGTGGCGCAGGTGAGGCCGCCCGCTCGCTCGCCCTCCCGCTCTCACCCACCCGCGGCGGCGCCCCCTCCCTGCCGCCCCTTCCCCCACCGCGCGGGCGGGAGCAGCCAGGTAGCGCGCGAGGCTCTCGGGTGGGGCTCGCCCGCCGGTGACCCGGGACCCGGCCACCGTGCCCAGAAAAGGACTCTCCGTCTGATCCGGGAACGCGGTGGGGGAGGGGCGCAGGGGACCCCGGGATGGGTGGGTGGGAGGCGAGCATCCTCGGGAGAGCTGCGGCCCGGTTGGGGGCTGTGCCCGTCTGGGTGGGGCAGACCCCGCCCCTCCCCCTCCGGCAGCTGTCGGGGGGCTGCGGCCGGGCGGATCCCGGCGGTGGGGGGGGGGGACCCCGGGAAGGGAGCGGGGTGTGTCGGCCGCGGTTCCGCTTGTGCGGGCGCCGCTGGCATCGGGGGGGGGCCCCCGGGGAAGGGCGATCGGCTCTTCTCCCCCCACCTCCCTTCATCCGATGGGGCGGGCGCGCGGGCCGCTCCTCCCCTCCCTCTGCTCGAGTGGGGGGGGGTTCGCAATCGGAGGAGGTTGGGCTCCTTGACACAGTTCCGCCATGACAAAGAGAGCCGGGGACTAGCGCGGAGGCGCCGGGCTGGGCGGAGCCAAGGAGGGGAGGTGGCGGCGGAGGGCGCGGGCGCGGGGACCGGCGCTTTCGGTTCGCCCCACCCGCCGGCCGCGGGCAGCCAAGGGTTAAGTGGGTGCGGCAAGCAGTCCCGCCAGTCGAGGGGCGAGGCCCGGCAGCACCCGTTTTCCTGTGAGAAACCTAATCCACTTCCCCTTATACGGGGAGCTCGGCCGGGAACGTTTGTCCTGGGCTTACATCATTTTTTCTATTGGAAGCCGCTTTAGCCAGAGACCATGTCTGATGTTAGATTTCCAGATCCCGGGAGAAGTGTGGGTTACCAAACTTTAAATAGTTAATGCTCTGAAGGTGCCGCGTCTCTAATTTACCTTAGCCCAACGCTTGTTTCAGTTGAGGCTACTTCTCATTGATAACCAAAAAAAGGAGTTGCTTTTTGGAAAGGTGAAGGGAAGGATGTGATGATCGCCACGGTGGGTGTCAGGGACTAATGCGGACTTTAGCAGTGCATTCAGCTTGTAACGTTCATTAAAATTTATTTTGTGGGATCACTGATTTGACATCGTTCAAGAAAAAAATGAGCAGAAATAAACTGAAATCTAGGTAATTTTAAAACGAGTGAAAGAAAATTAACTGAGGAAATGTAGAAACATCTAATAAATCGTGACTGCTAGAAATGAAGGGATTCTACCTCTGACTGCATTAATGACCCTGATCCTCCCGTGTCTTAGCTCATGCTCACAGTAGCAATCCGTTATGGGAGTTTGCTACATAAGTGCATATAATGAATGCCATATAAATCCAAATAAATGGATTTGGTCTTGGAGTTGGTGATCCCTATGGTTTTATATTCAAGAGATCTTAAGCGGCAATTAGTCATTTTCTTGATAATTTTTATTCTATGATACCTGGTAAATGTTATAAGTGTAGTAAATTGGGGTTGGGGCAAATGCTAAGTAAAATTTAATCACTCCTGATAAGAGCAAAATAACTGAATTACATCATGGTGACACGACTCATAATTCTAGAAACTAATGGTCTTTATAGGTATCTTAGGTCTGGTGTGTCCACGAGAGAGAGACAGAGAGAGAGAGACAGAGAGAGAGAGACAGAGAGAGAAAGAGAGCGCGAGCGCCCAAGCTGCTTAAGTGCTGATTGTTTAGTGGTATTGGGATCAAGTTGAACTTTTAACCAAGGAAAATGGGGGGAGGGGTCCTTTTTTGTTGTTTATTTTGCTTTTTAAGAAAATAAATTTATTGACTACATGGCAGGGACAGCACTGCCCTAGGCTAAGGGTGGTTTTTGAGCCGCTCATGTTTCAGGTAAGATAGGTTTCGATCTTACCTGAAGCTGGGATCTTGTGAAGAGCTTTACTAACCTACTGTTAATATGCAGAGTGTGCTCATTTTGGGGTTGATTTGGGGGGGGGATCTTTCAACATTGCTAGACTTTTGAGATACTTGTATACATTTTTAGAACAGGTACAACGAGCTTCTCTAATAGTAATTTCTGAATATCCTTTTCTTCCCTTTGCAGAATATCCAGTTATGGATAAAAATGAGCTGGTGCAGAAGGCCAAGCTGGCCGAGCAGGCTGAGCGATACGATGACATGGCAGCCTGCATGAAGTCTGTGACTGAGCAGGGAGCCGAGCTATCCAACGAGGAGAGGAATCTTCTCTCTGTTGCTTACAAAAATGTTGTAGGAGCCCGCAGGTCATCTTGGAGGGTCGTCTCGAGTATTGAGCAGAAGACGGAAGGTGCTGAGAAAAAGCAGCAGATGGCCCGGGAGTACAGAGAGAAGATCGAGACTGAGCTGAGGGACATCTGCAATGATGTGCTGGTGAGAAGCCTTTGCTTTAGCTTCTGTAACGAACTCAAATACACGCACACACCTTTAGAGATTGGCTGTTGCAAATTAGAGATTGCCCACGTGGGCCAGGTGTAGATTTCTGTAAGATGAGACAAACCATTCCACTCGTGGTTTGTGTTCCTGTAGTGAGGTGCTAATAGTCACGTGTGTGTGGTGAGCACAGGAATTACATCCTCGTTGTATGTAAGGAGTGTGGTAGACTCACAGACAGGCTGTGCAGAAAGCCAGTTTGCAGGTGCTTACCTGCCTTTATGTTAAGTCATTGACAAACAATGCAAGGCAGTTATGTCTAAGTGTGTGGAACCTACTGTGTTGAAAAACTGCTCGAGCTAAGGGAATTGAACATTGCATTTGTGTATATTTCCTATTTTAAAGTAATGGTCTTCTTTGATTCAGAAAATTGAGATAATCTAATAGAAAACGAACCAATTAAATTTCTGGGGCAGGACCCATTTTCTGACCCAGGATAAGGTTTAGCTTTAAACCTCATGCAGGTCCTGCTGTCTGAGTCTCCTAAATGCTTAACAGCTGGCAGCTAGGATTCCTTTTAAGACAGTCTTCATTGACAGAAAAGCTTGATTCCTAAATTGTACTTTTTAAAAAAATAAAGATTGAATCCATTTTAAGATTTTAAAAAAAAAGTGTGACACCAGGCAGTGGTGGTGCTTTAACCCCATACTTGGGGTACAGGCTGGTGGATCTCAGTGAGTTCCAGGATAGCCAGGACTGTCACAGAGAAACCCTGTCTTAAAAAAACAAAAGAGCCGGGCGGTGGTGGCGCACGCCTTTAATCCCAGCACTTGGGAGGCAGAGGCAGGCGGATCTCTGTGAGTTTGAGACCAGCCTGGTCTACATGAGCTAGTTCCAGGACAGGCTCCAAAACCACAGAGAAACCCTGTCTGGAAAAACAAAAATAAAACAAAACAAAAAAAAGAAAAGAAAAAGAAGAAACAAAAGAAAAGGCTGTGAAATCACAGTCTTAAGTAGCTTTTTCTTTGGGTCCATTTTTATTTGTTCAGGGGATTTCATAACTGCTGCTTTTCCAAAGTTGTGAAGTGCAATATTGAAGGCAAACAATTTATATATATTAAAATTAGGAAACTAAGAGTGTTTAGAATATGGAAAAACATCTATTTCATAATAAAAACTGTTGGGTTTGTTTCTGCTTTCCTTGCTATTTTATATATCACTGGGTTTATTATTAAGTCCTTGTGGGTTTTTTTTCCTCCCAAGTACTGGTTTCTACTTCGGTTTCAAAGGGTATATATATATATATATATATATATATATATATATATATATATATATATTTTTTTTTTTTTTTTAAGATTTATTTATTTATTATATGTGCAACATTCTGCCTCCATGTATGCCCGCACGCCAGAGGAGGGCACCAGGTCTCATTACAGGTGGTTGTGAACCACCATGTGGTTGCTGGGAATTGAACTCAGGACCTCTGGAAGAGCAGCCAGTGCTCTTAACCACTGAGCCATCTCTCCAGCCACTCAAAGGGTATATTTAACAGATGAAATTTCTCCTAAAGAAAAACATTTTAAGGATAAAAGGGACATGCTACACTCAAAGGGTATATTTAACAGATGAAATTTCTCCTAAAGAAAAACATTTTAAGGATAAAAGGGACATGCTACATTTATGTTCTGTGAGCTTGTTTGAGACTCCAGGTAGGTGTTCCAATATTTTCCTCAGCTGGAAATAGATAAGTTCTCAAATTCTTGAGTCTTTTCCTAAGGAAAGACTAGCAGCTTCAACTGTGTCCTCTGGGGCGGGGCGGGTCAGTTATCTGTAAACGCCTCCTCAGGGCTATGCCAAGAGTGTGCCTCCTTTGGAAGGGTGCGAGCTTTCACAAGGCCTAAATGAAGTTTTACCTTGAGAGCTTAATTTCTTCACGTAAGTGGCTCAGAGAATTATAAACAAGCTTTTACTTCTAGTAAACTTGAGCTCTGGTTGTAACGCACATGCTCAAATATTGTTTAACAGTTTCTGGGGA